TACAGAAGATTTTTCAGTGTATTTTGGTTCTGTTTCTTGCGGATTTCTCCCTCGTCATCTCACAGGCTATAGTGTGACTGGGAAACCCCAGGGGCGGGTCCTCTCCCTACCCCCACTCCACTTACAACACCTCACAGAGCTAGAAAAAGAACACATCAGTCATCACAAATTACTCAATACTGGAATGTTCTGTTTCTATTCCAGTCTTCCTTCTCTGTTCTCTTGGCTGCTTCTACTGTAACACCTACTACTGCATCCATACGGGGCTTTTAAGGGCCTTCCCTCAATGAAGTCACAGGCCCTATTCATTCTTTGCAACGGGGTCAGAAAGATCTAATATAAGGTTGCCACTCTCTGTCACTTGATGTTGCAGGGAATTCAGTGCGCCAGCCTGAATGAGGTTGGGAATTTCTTTCTTATTTTGATTGATTGATTGATTTGAGAGAGAGGAATGGAGAGAGAGAGAGAGAGAGAGAGAGAGAGAGAGAGAGAGAGGCATGGGTTTGTTGTTCCACTTATTTGTGCATTCCTTGGTTGATTCTTATATGTGCCCTGACTGGGGATCGAACCCACAACCTTGGCAGCGCAGGGGCGATGCTCTAACCAACTGAGCTATCTGCCAGGGAGGGGAATTTCCTGAAGGTTCTCCTGCATCCCATTTTTATGGCTTTCAGATGTGCAGTCGGGTTGCTATCTGTGCTTGCCTCCTGATTCAGTCCTTATTCCGCACACGCAGCTAGCCTGTGACTGCTGCATGTCCAGGGGCTGGAACCAATCAGCTCATCGAGGGCTTTCTCAGAGCCAATCAGAGCCGAGGGAAGTGACCTCACCCAAGGGAGAGCTGTGTAGGCGAGGAAGCATCTCTCAGAGCTGAGTGTCCCTAAGTCACTCCACTCCACCCCACCCTCCTTAGTTCCTGTAAAGCAACACCACCTCCCCTCTCCCTCCCAAAGAAGGAAGTGAGAAGGGCTAACTAAATTCCACATAGGAAAAACAAAACAAAACAACTGCAACTTAGCCACACAGTGGCTTCTAGAAGCAGAGAACAGAATATTCAGTGGGCTTCACCTACACAAACTATTCCCAGTGGTGTCTCCGGGGCCTGGAAGCGGGTGAGTGTGCTGAAGAAGACTCGGCACCTCCCCCCTCTTCCCTCTCCACACCTGGCTTTCTGGACTCTCCCCACAAAAATAGCTGCGATCATTCTCTGTAAACAAGGACAAGCTCAAGGCCAAGTGTGGGAAAGAGAGGGCCTGCGTCGCTGTGAGCACATGAGGACAGGCACAATCCCGTCGCGTGGCCGGAGGCTCAGACATCAGCTGATCTTCGGGGCCAGCGCTGTTCTTCTCCACTGCTCTGCACAGCCCCTCAGATGAGCTTCTTGAATGTTCCTGGCAAGGCTAGATTGGGAGCACGTGTCCCACCGCTGGGGTGGGCGGGAAGGGAAAAGAACAGGAAGGCTGTAACCCCCAGGTATCCCACTGGACTGACAGGGAAGGAGAGAATGGCTCAGCGAGGCATCCCCTTCACTCCTCCAGCCCGCTCCCACAAGGCCTCACCCTGAACAAAAAGACAGATTAAAAAAAAAGTTTTTATTTAAAAATATAAAACTGGCCTCACTCCTCCTAACTGCTCCCACCCCCAATCATCCCCACAAAGAACTATAAAAAGTGGGTAAGGGCATGTGTACAGCTGTCTCGGGTCTAACAGTTTCAGTTCTTCTTTCGACCCTCCTTTCTCCCTTTCATACAAGCAGACATGGGTCCTCTGCCCTTTGGCCAAGATCTCAGAAGTGACACAAGGGCAGAGGCAGGGGAAGGGTAGGAAAGAGAGCTGTCTGTCGCTATTCTCCATTTCCGTCTCCATAGACCAAACAGGTTATCTCAGTGGTTCTCAACCTTCTGGCCCTTTAAATACAGTTCCTCCTGTTGTGACCCAACCATAAAATTATTTTCGTTGCTACTTCATAACTGTAATGTTGCTACTGTGATGAATCGTCATGTAAATATCTGATATGCAGGATGGTCTTAGGCGACCCCTGTGAAAGGATCGTTGGACCGCCAAAGGAGTCGCGACCCACAGGTTGAGAACCGCTGGGTTATCTGGACACTGAGCGAAAGATCTCCTTGTCCACAAAACCAAGTAATAGGCACAGTGCCTCTCTGTGTCGTACATCAGAAAGGTACGAAGGTCCAGGGTGCTGTTTAGGGTCCTTATTCAGTAGATAGCTTCATCCATATTGTCATCACTGTCAACCCCAAAGTCCTCTCCATTGTCGAAATATGACATGATGTAATCCGTTTCCTGTAATACAAAGTAAAGAAAAGTCAGGCGTGCTTTTGGCGTTCTCCTTCCTCCCTGTGTACCCGGTCCCTTCCCTCCCAACCACACCCTCTAGGCCTGGAAACCCCGTGGCTGTGGCTGGCTTGTAGAAGAGCCTGCGGACAGATACCATTGAGGGCACTATCTCCTTTGGCTCTGCAACCCTCTGAAGAGAACATCCCTGGTGAGCAGAGTTGAGATCCCCAGAGCTAATGAGAGCAAGAGAGCAACAGGGCAAGAGAGAGGAACTGCGGGCAGAAAGCGGTCTCCTCACCTCTTCATGTTCTTCTTCATCATACTCCTCCTCTTCTTCCTCTTCCTTCTCTTCTTCTTCTTTCTCCTCGTCTTCCTCTGAAGTTACTTCTTCCTCCTTCTTCTCCAGAGTCTTTTTTTTTTTTTAAAGATTTTGTATTGATTTTTAGAGAGAGAAACATCATTCATCAGCTGCCTCCCACCAGGGATTGAGCCCACAAGTGGGGCATGTGCTCTGACCGGGAATAGAACTAGCAACTTTTCAGTGCACAGGTCAACGCCCAACCAACTGAGCCACACCGGCTAGGGCCTTCTCCAGGGTCTTATGTGAAGATGAATAGGAAGACAAACTCAGACTCAGCGCACAGAAGGGAAAAAGTGAGGCACACAGGGGCCGAAGAGGAGGGCATGGACCTGGGGCTCAGGCCCCGTGCACATTTCCTCCTACCTCTAGTTTCTGTATTGTTTCCTCTTTATCTTCTGTGGTCTTGGGGGGTCTCTTGGGAAGTAGAATGGTGGTCCCTGGTGAGAAGATCAAAAATTGAACCATCAGCCTGGCGGGTGTGGCTCAGTGGTTGAATGGCAACCTATAAACCAGGAGGTCACAGTTCAATTCTTGGTCAGGGCACATGCCCAGGATGTGGGCCCAGTCCCTAGTAGGGGGCATGCAGGAGGCAGATGAGTGATGAATCTCCCTCATTATTGATGTTTCCATTGTTCTCTTCCTCTATGAAATCAATAAAAAAAATATATGTATATTTTTTTAAAGTGAACCATCAGAGAGCAAACTTCCTACATTTCTACCACCTTCCTGCAAAGACCACGTTACTCTACTGCCCTCATGTGGTCACCAAGGTGTCCAGCAACAACACTGGGTGCTTGGAGTAGGAGTAGGATTAGGAGGGCAGGAGGAGAGCTCTTTTCCCTCTTTTTCCAGACACACTCACGCTCCTTCTGTAGCTTCCGCACTCGGATCCTTAGCTCCCGGGGTAGACGTCGCCAATCTGGGAAGAGTGGGAAAGTAAAAGTCAGTCCGACCCTGCCTGGGTTGAGGGGGACTTCTGTGAATGATGACTGGTTCTAGAGATAAGGGTTGGGATGAAGGTGAGGAAGGAAGGGGTTGGGTCAAAGTTGCTTGGAACGAAACTGCGGCTTGGATGCCTCCAGGGGAGTGAGGGCTAGTTACCAGGTTTTTAGGTGGAACCTGAGAGTGTTCACTAGTATATGTAAGGGTCCAGTTTGTAAATACTGAGGGGGTGGCGGGGGGACAGAAGAGGGTGGATGGGGTGGCGGCCAGTGTGGAGACATTTGAAAGAAGGGCAGTCAGTGAAAGGACCCATCACCTACCAGGGTTCCAGTCGATGGCACTGTCAATCGGCCCGGACATCTGATATTTGTCTGAGTAGCGCTCCACATCTGAGGGGTCAGAGGCCAAGGGTCAAAGTTTTATCTTCCCCGAGGCCTAGACCAGGGTTGTTCCTCAGGGCCCAGCCCTGTCAATACTTAGGAATTGTCTGTTCCCTCAGCCCACACCCAGAGCCCAGGCGTCAGCTTCAGTGAGGACCTTCAACAGTCTGTAACCTGTCCCTTTCCACCTAAAAGTATGATTTTTTTTGTTATCTCCCTTAACCCAAAGGCATGAGTCTATCAAGAGGTAGTGGTAACAGTAAAAAGTATACTGGGGCCCTAACCGGTTTGGCTCAATGGATAGAGCGTTCGCCTGCAGACTCAAGGGTCCCAGGTTCGATTCCAGTCAAGGGCATGTACCTTGGTTGTGGGCACATCCCCAGTAGGAGGTATGCAGGAGGCAGCTGATGGATGTTTCTAACTCTCTATCCCTCTCCCTTCCTCTCTGTAAAAAATCAATAATATATATATATTTTTAAAAAGTATACTAGAGACAAGGAACCAGGGCTCCCATATTCCCTTTGCTCCTTGTTCATGGGACTAACCTGCACGAGCCTTTCCGCTCCCTGAGCTTCCACTTCTAGGGAACACTGTCCTTCCACAGCAGTTAATAAATACCCACTATCCCAGGCCTCCCACGTGCACCCCCTCATCCAGTCGCTCTTGGTCTCCCCGACTTCTCCACGATCCACTAACCAGAAAGGTATCCCTTTAGTTAGCAGGGTATCTCCGAGGCCTAACACCAGCCCCCCTTCTGATTGGTTGGTGCCTGTAATATCCAGATGGTTAAAAATTATAATACATCCCCCCTTTATACGGGTGCAATACTTCACCTCCTGCTGTCCCAAGACTGTTGCGAAACACAAAACCAATCGTGGACACTGTCATGTGTTTCGAATTCAGGGGTGGTTATTATGATCTCCCCAGTTGGACGGTGAGCGTCCTCTGCCGCGCCTGGCATCGCTGGCCCGCAGTAGGCACTGCCCCGGGAGGCACTTGGGACGGGATACCAGCATCCGACTGACCTCTCTTGGGGACCGCTGGCCGGATGAAGTAGGGCAGCTGCCTCATGGCCCCTCGCAGCTCCTGCTTCAGTGCCAGGACATACTCCCCTTCCTCTCCTGAGGGCAGAGGCACAGGGCGGAACTCCAGGGGCTAAGAGACAGGGGCAGTGGTCAGTCGGGGAGAAAATGCTGGACTACAAATCCAGGAGGGTGTCTCCCCCAAGCTCAATCCCATGCTCCTGCTGAGCAAAGGGTCAGACGAGAAAAGGGGAGCAGCACAGTATGTTGAAAGTTGGGGAGCCAGGGCTCTGAGAAGTCAGGTAGACACTTCCCGGCCTGGAGAACATCCGTGGGAGCCGGGTGCACAGAGACAGGGAGGAGCAAGATAAGGATGGTTTCATGATGGCCCAGGAGACATCCCGGCTCACATACAGGCAGCCAGGGGCACCGGGGAGGCCTGGGCAGGGAGGGCAGACACTCACCGGGAAGAGTGGTGAAGGCTGCAGGGTGGGTGGGGGCAGAGCATCCCCCTTCCCAATGCCCACGGCCTCCATGTTGAAGGTCAACTGGCCGCGGCCCCGACCCCGGCCCCGGCTGGCCATGGTGGAAGCGGCCTGGGTATTCAGAGATCCGATGAGAAACACCTGATGAAGATAAAAACAGAGAGAAAAAGCGCAGGAGAAGGGGTAGGAAACCAGGGAGGTATACGACACGCAATCTTTTTTCCTGGGACCTGAAAAGCCAGCGTAATTCAACAGGTTTTGACTGAGAAGGCACCGGCCAGGCCGAGTATTTCTGGAAATATAAACACGGATGAGACGTGGTCTCAACCGGACAGATAACTGCAATATAGTGTAACTGCAGCCCAAAGGGGAAAGTGATTAGATCCTTGGATAAAACTCCCTTGCATCCCTAAGATAATCTGATGTTTATCACCATCTGCGGAGCTACCTATGACCTTTTCATTCTTTCTCTCCCTGGCTTTCCAAACCCAACCAAGCCCCAATTCAATCCAATGCAGTGCATTTCAACAACACATTTATTCAGAATATACCATGAAAAAAGTAGTACGACAGGCACTGTGGGGGCACAGGGATAAGTCATCAGTCTCTGTCAGTGGCGGGCGTGTGGGGGGTGTGGGAGGGGGCAGAGAGGAGAACCATTACAGTCAAATTGATCTTTTAAGACACCACTTGGGAGCACAGAACTTAGAATTGGAAGGACCCACAGAGCTTTCTAGTCCAAACCCCCTCCGCGTGCAGTACTCCACTCGGTAAGCTGTGAGTCATTCTGCGTCTGGTGGTATTTTCCTAAAGAGAGGGTGTCCATTCTCCCCCATGGCGGCCCATCCCACTGGGATTGACTCTGATGAATCGAAAGCTCCTCTTGCTACTGAACTGAGCTCTGCCTCTTGTCACCATCAGACTTGCGGGGACACTCAGATGCAGCTATCATGGGGGATAAAGTCACCAAGTGAAAATGAAACTTGCCCGGCCCGGCGTGGTTCAGTGGCTGAGCACGGACATATGCCCGGGTTGTGGGCTGGATCCCCATAGTGGGGCGTGCAGGAGGCAGCTGATAAATGATTCTCTCTCATCGCTGATGTTTCTATCTCCCTCTCCCTCTCCCTTCCTCTCTGAAATCAATAAAAATATATACTTTTTTAAAATGAAACTTGAAAAAAATGATACCCCAGTAGCAAGGAATATACCTAGCACCCAGATCTTGGTTTCTAATACTATTTTCTAATAAACGGAACCAAGGCTTCTTGAAGAAATGGCTAATTCTAGGATGGGGGCAGGAAATATACACCATGAGCCTGAAGTACCTTCTAGTGCCAGTAAGTGCTAAGACAACAACAACAAACAAACAAAAAACCACCACACATTGATGGGGCTACATCAACGGAGCATACGAGTCAAGTGAAAGAGCTCCCAATGGCCAAAGCCGGAACAATTTGAACAATAACATAGAGCAGTATTGGATTATTACCCCAAAGCATAAACTAAATATCCAGAAGTTCACACTAGTATAAATAAATGACTGAATAAATCAATTCATGGGGGAGAAAAAAAAATCTCTCATTCAGAATTCCAAATCCATTGTGTAGACTCCCCTAAAGACAGAGGGTAGAACTCCCCTCTCCTTAAGTGTTGGCTGTGTATGGGGAATTTTGTCCAAAACGTATAGTTTTTGAAAGGGTAGGGTAGTAACTTTACAATGGAGAAACTGCACGAACACTAACTACTTCTGCCAGGTGACCAAGGTCAATAGCAACAATCTTAAATCATGTCGTGAATTCGTACCCTTAATATTGAAGTGATGAAATGGCACTTACCACTTTACCTCTGTGACCCCCCCCCCAAATCCACAACCCCAGTCTACTCAGGAGAAAAACATCAGACAAATTCCAGCAGAAGAGCATCCTACGGGCCTGACCGGTACTTTCTAGCACTGCCAGTCACCCAAAACAAGGGAGGTCCACCCTTCCATCGTAACAGGGGAGAGCAGTCCTAGTGGTAGGTAGTATTCTTAAAAATAAAGAACACCATCCCTTTTGTTCTCTGATTATAGAATATACTATAAGTTTTCTAGAATAAATATTCTAGGAAACACATAAAGGTATAAAGAAAAAAAATACTTATTATTTCATGATGACCGCCATCTAGTAATAACCATTATTAATATTTTAACATGTATCCTTTTAATTTCATTTCCATGTGTATAAATACATGTACGTGTATACATACACACACACACACACACACACACACACACACACACACAATAGGACCATGACAACTAAATGTAATGTTGTATACTGGATCGAATCCTGGAAGAGAAAAAGAGCAGCAGGTAAAACTAAGGAAGTGTGAAACAAGTGTGACTTTAAATAATTATAATGTATCAATATGGTTTCATAACTGTAACTTATGTACCATACTAATACATGATGCTAATAATACGGGAAACTGTTCCAGGGCATAGAGAAGCTTTCCGTACTATCTCTCCAGTTTTTCTGTAAATCTAAAATTGTTTCAAAAAATAAAGTCTATTTTAAAAAACCTTGAGTAGCACTTTAAATCCAGTTTCTCAGACCTTCCTTGCTTTTATGACCTTGGCCGGTTTGAAGAGAACTGGTCAGGTATATGATAGGATGCTCCTCTGCTAGAATTTGTCTCATGTTTTCCTCCTGATTAGACTGCGGCTCGGGGCTTGGGGAAGGAGAATACAGAGGTGAAGTACCATTGCATCCCATCATATTAAGGGTACAGAGTAACAAGTTGTTAGAGAACAATAAGAAATAATACAGTACATAATTAAGATCTCTTAAATTAGTGATTCATAATGTCATTGTTCCCACAGTCCAGAAAAGGGAGAAAACTAGGAGGTCTGCGATGGTGAGGGGAGGATTTATAAATACAGTTACAAAGCTCTAACCCAGGGGTGGGCAAACTTTTTGACTCGAGGGCCACAATGGGTTCTTAAACTGGACCGGAGGGCCGGAACAAAAGCATGCATGGAGTGTTTGTGTGAACTAATATAAATTCAAAGTAAACATCATTACATAAAAGGGTACGGTCTTTTTTTTTTTTTAGTTTTATTCATTTCAACCAGGCCGGATCTGCCCCGCGGGCCGTAGTTTGCCCACGGCTGCTCTAACCGGCTTGGCTCAGTGGATAGAGCGTTGGCCTGCGGACTGAAGGGTCCCAGGTTCGATTTCAGTCAAGGGCACATCCCCAGTAGGAGGTGTGCAGGAAGCAGCTGATTGATGTTTCTCTCTCATTGATGTTTCTGACTCTCTATCCCTCTCTCTTCCTCTCTGTAAAAAAAAAGAAATAAAATATATATTTTTTAAAAATACAGTAACAAAGTCTAAAGTTTGGAAGAGCACTTAGAAGTCATGCATTCATTCATGTAACAAATATTTATTGAGCATCTACTACATGCCAGATATAATGCTAGATAATGGGGATCATAGTGAATCCTCTAGACTTGCATCCTTCCTCTGATAAACCATATTTAGTACATTGTTATTCATCTTCTATTTAAACATCTTTAATGAGAGAACGCCCTATCTCACTTTGTATGTCCTTTCATTTTTGGATATTTGTGCTTCAATTAATATTCAACAAACACTCTAGACCAGCGGTTCTCAACCTGTGGGTCACGACCCCTTTGGCGGTCGAACGATCCTTTCACAGGGGTCGCCTAAGACCATCCTGCATAGCAGATATTTACATGACGATTCATAACAGTAGCAACATTACAGTTATGAATTAGCAACGAAAATAATTTTATGGTTGGGTCACAACATGAGGAACTGTATTTAAAGGGCCAGAAGGTTGAGAACCACTGCTCTAGACAAAAAAAAAATATGGCTAAATAAAGGGCATTTTACAAAAGATTAGTTATTTAAAAATATTTTTAAATAGGTATAAAGTAATCTATGTTGCAAACATACACACACATTTATGAATAAAAATGTTCTTAAAGGATATACATTAATTTAAGGTGTGTTTTGGGGGGGCGGTTATTTGTAATTTAAGGTTTTCTTCTATACTGTTTTTGTAATGAGAAAAAATGTTGATTTAAATTTAAAAATATATACTAACAATAGTAGATGAGACCAGTAACATGTAGCAGGAAGGAGAGGGTAAAAGAATATGTGTCTGAGAAACTTGGAAAGTTTCAAGTCCAACTACCACGAAAAAATGTGAAGCAGAAGCTGGCTGTTAGTTAACAGATTGCATGGTGATCTGATTGACAGAGCATATGAGGGAAGAGAGGAGGACTGGTGGACCCAGGAGTAAGAATCCATCACCATGTCTCCGGGCCCTTTCAGGGAAAGAACACTCCCAGTGCTGGCTCCAGTCTCTTTCCACTTGACACACAATGGAGAGGGGAGCTGGGTGTTTGTTTGTTTGTTTGTTAGCTTGTTTGTTTGTTTTTAATATATTTTTATTGACTTCAGAGAGGAAGGGAGAGATGGAAACATCAATGATGAAAGAGAATCATTGATCAGCTGCTTCCTGCACGCCCCCTACTAGGGATTGAGCCCACAACCTGGGCATGTGCCCTTGACCAGAATTGAACGCAGAACCCTTCAGTCCGCTGGCCGGCGCTCTATCCACTGAGCCAAACTGGCTAAGGCTGGGGCAGAGGGGAGCTGTTTTGACTGCAAAGCAGCCAGGAGTCAGGAAAAGGCCATGCGTTTGAGGTTAGACAAATCTAATTCCATTTCCACATACGTATCAAGGGGCTCCCAACAAAGTGGGGTAAAATAAGACAAAATTTTATCTAATTCAGGCAATAAACTAAACCATTCATCTCTACCCCACTCAGCTCAGTAATTACAACGAGTCTCTTATACTTAAGATTGTGATTGTGTCTCAGTTCCTGACAGTAAAGTCTCTTATAATCTGGTTCCAAACTACTCTTCTTTAATATCAGTTGTCCCCAGTGTTCACCCTGCATTCTCCCTCCCGTAAAACAACAACATCCCATATACATTATGCTCATCCCCATTATGTATAACTGTGTGTTATGGTACAAGTTATTGAGAACAGATTGCAACAAAACATAGAGAAAAACAGTTACATGGAATTTAAGGAAGTTACATGCATGTAGTGGTTAAGGACATGGATTTGAATCCCAGTTCTGTCATTTCTTAGCTATATAACTTTCGGCTATTTTAAAAATATCTCAAAAACTGTTTCCTTCATCCTTAAAAGGGGAATAATAAAAACAAAATCATCTTCATTCACTTAACCAGGGGTCCTCAAACTTTTTAAACAGGGGGCCAGTTCACTGTCCCTCAGACCGTTGGAGGGCCGGACTATAGTTTAAAAAAAAAACTATGAACAAATTCCTATGCACACTGCACATATCTTATTTTGAAGTAAAAAAACAAAACGGGAACAAATACAATATTTGTATTTGCATGTGGCCCGCGGGCCGTAGTTTGAAGACCCCTGCACTTAACAAATATTTACTGCGTGCTTACTACGTGCCAGGTGCTGTTCTAAGAGATCCAGGGACTGAGGCCTAGAGCACTCTAAGGTTTAGGCTTTCCTATATTTGTAGTGAAAAAATCACCCCAAAAGAATAAACATGCAAAAGACATGGACAATTACCCTAACCAGTTTGGCTCAGTGGATAGAGCGTCGGCCTCTGGTCTGAGGGGTCCCAGGTTTGATTCCTGCATGTACCTTGGTTGCAGGCACATCCCCAGTAGGGGGTGTGCAAGAGGCAGCTGATCGATGTTTCTCTCTCATCAATGTTTCTAAATCTCTATTCCTCTCTGTAAAAAATCAATAAAATATATATATTTTTAAAAAGACATGGACAATTGACAAAAGTCTGACTCTTTACCTGTTAAACTGACAAAGATTTAAATAATAATCAGGCTGTCATGAATTTTGTTGAGATGGACGCTCTCATAATTCACTAGAACAATCGTTTGAGGGAACAAATTGACCACTTGAATCAACAGCCTTTTTTATTTTTATACTTTTAGAGAGAGAGGAATGGGGAGGGAGGGAGAGAGAGAGGAATGGGGAGGGAGAGAGAGAGAGGAATGGGGAGGGGGAGAGAGAGAGGAATGGGGAGGGGGGGAGAGAGAGAGGAATGGGGAGAGAGAAAGAGAGAGAGAGAGAGAGAGAGAGAGAGAGAGAGAGAGCACTTATGACCTGGAGCCTGAGTATGTGCCCTGACCAGGAGCCGAAGCAGCCGCCTCTGGGGTAGGGGAGGGCCCTCCAGCTGCCATGCAGGCCAGGACTCAACAGCCTTTTCTAACGTTCATACCCTTAGCCCACTGACCCTACTAAAGATTTAACCTAAAGAAATCATCAGATATGTGGTCAGAGATATAAGTTCAAGGATGCTCATCAAAGAGCTATTCATAGTAGCAAAAATCCTGAAATAACTTAAATGGTCCAACAAAAAAATGATCCAAAAAATTCAAAATATTCATTTTAGACTATTACGTAGCCATAAAAATGACTTTTAAAAAATATTATTTTTATTGATCTCAGAGAGGAAGAAAGAGGGAGAGAGAGAGAGAGAGAGAGAGAAGAGAGAGAGAGAGAGAAACATCAATGATGCAAGAGAATCATTGATCGACTGCCTCCTGCACACCCCACACTGGGGATAGAGCCCGCCACCTGGACATACGCCCTGACCAGAAATCGAATCCTGCCCTCCTGGTTCATAGGTCGACACTCAACCACTGCACCCACCAGTCATTATTTTAAAATGACTTTAAATAATATTTAAAAGAAAAAAATTCACAATATAATGTAAACTAAGGGGGAACATAATAAAAATTGCATTTATTGTATGACCCTATTTATGCAATATACACACACATATATATGTATACATGCAGAAAAGAAATAGAAAGGATACATATTAAAATATAATAATGGTTATCACTACATCATGGTCATGATATAATAGCTATTTTTCTTTATACCTTTATGTGTTTCCAAATTTTCTAGAATAAATGTATATTACTTCTGTAATCAGAAAACAAAAGGTAAGGTGTTCTTTATTTCTAAGAATGCTACCACTAGGACTGCTCTCGCCTTTCACAATGGAAGTGTGGGATGCAGTGTGTCAAGTTATATATTTGTCTAGAATATTTGTCGGATATCAATTGAAGAACAAATATCCAACAATGGAATGACTGGAAAAGTGAGATAGGGTCATTTTACTAAAGACGATTAAATAGAAGCTGGATAACAATTTACTAAATATGGTTTACCCGAGGAAGGATGCATGTCTAGAGTAGAGGATTCATTATGATCCTCCTTGTCTAGCACTGTCTGGCATATTGATTTATGCTCAATAAATATTTGTTGAATGAATGAATGAGTGAACACAATATATCTAAGCTTTCTTCCAAACTTGAGACCTTGTGATTCATAAAATGCTCCCCCACCTCCACTATCCCAGTCTTTCTAGCTTGCTCCCTTCTCTGAACTGTGGGAGCAACTATAAAATGAACCACTACTTTTAAGAGCCCTTAATTATATACTGTATTGTACTGTATTTTGTCTTTTATGAATTGTTCCCTAATCACATTAGGAGTTTAAATTCTGAATCCCCAATCAATTCCATTCAATCAACCTGCATTGGACAATGTATAGTAAGTATTAGAACCTGCCCTACAAAACCTTATATTCTGAGAAAACTAGAAACATTAAAGAGAGAGGGTGCACTAAGTACTCTAATAGAGGTATACATAAAATGCTAGCATCAGACTGGGAAACAATTAATTCTGGGGGGGGGGGGGGAAGGGGGGAAAATTAATTTGGGGGGGGGGGGGTGGTAAGGTGGTGCAAGAAAGCTACAGGTAGGACATGGGTAACCTTCCATCTGAGTCTTGATGGATAACAGAAGTCTGTCAGGCCCCTGGGGAGATACTGTTAACAGGTTCGAGGAAAGCTGATGCCATTGCAGAGTCGGAATCACAGAGAGCGTCTTTCCCACGTTCTGCTTTACTATCCGTCGCCTGTGCGCACAAGAACGCTACGGTGTGGATCAATACCGCGATGGGAACCCAGGAGAGAAAGGGGAGGGAGCCCGAGGGGGCTGATCAGCAAGCCGGTTTGCTGTCTGTCTGTCTGTCTCGCAGCTGGCCCAGGCGAAGTAGTTCGGGAACTGTGGGACGGAACCAGGTCCGAGCCTCCAGGTGGGAGCCTTACCTGCCGCCCCTCCCCCACGCGAAGCCGAGGCCGCCGCCAACCTGGAATCCGCCCGTCTTCCTCGAGCAGGGGGCGCTCTGGGCCCGCCTCCGCGAGCTCCCCATTGGTGAGTCCTCCCCGCCAATCTAGGAGGAGCCGGCGGGGAGGTCCGCCCCCTGGCAGCCGAGGAGGCGGAGGGCGGAGCCAGCCGGAACCGGGCGTGGGAGCCACTAGCGGAGGGAGACGGGGTTGCAGAATGAGCCAGGCTCCATTATTTCCCATCTCGTCTCAGATGCAGGAGCCGCGGGCCAGCTCAGCGAGAGTTCACAGCGGGGGCCTGACGCCCAGGTCTCACCAGCGGGCTCTGCGGGGCCCCCGCAGAGACATGAGCCCCTATGGGAGCGGCTCGTTAGAGATGAGTCTTTGCGTGACGGCCTCACGCTTGGCCTCTGCTCCATGACTCCAGCCTTCCCTTCCACCCTCCACTGCTTCCCTCGAGCACCACCAGTGAATACTGCTCTTATAAAAAATGTTTCTTTCCGTGGGTTGCTGCCATGTCTGAAAGAAGATGGGGAGGGGTTTTGGGGGGAGGAAGGTTAGGAATCAGAGAACTAGAATTAGGGGGCAGGGCAGGAGCCAGTGTTTCCTGCACTTTCCATTGCCTTCCAGCTCCTCTTCGCCCTTGGTAAGGGCGCATGGTGGGAATGTTACAGAAGACCAGAGAAGAACCAAGCAACGCTCAGAGAGATGGAGTTACATTTATGATGATGATGATGATGATGATGATGCACGGCCCAGAGAAAAAAATGTCTCTAGAATTCTGGGCCGAGTCATAAAGGAAATTTCCTGTATTTATACCTTTTTACCCTCTTTGTCTCCTAAATATGGAGTTTTTCCGGTCCCCTTTGCACAGTTCTATATGCTGGGCCTTTGAGACCTCAACCAAAGGCTTGGCCTGGCGCCAGCCCGGATAACTTCGTCTGGGGAAGGTTTACGGCCTCTCTGGAACAGGGAGTTGTCTTTTTTCCTTATTTAAGCCAGCAAGCATTTACAGAAGCCAAAAGAGCAGGGTTAAAATTTCACACAGCAGTTTTTATATAAGATGGGTGCTTCAGGAAGAGGAGTCTTATGTGTACACACACACACACACACACACACACACACCAGAAACAGAGGGAAGAGCTCAGAGGGGTGATAAAATATAAGCTTCAAGAACCTCCGAGGTGTCAGAGCAATGGCCTGGGAGCAACGCCTCTGGGCTCGGAAGGCTGCAGGGTGGTGGCAAGTGCCCTGTCTTTGGGATAAGACAGAAACGGAGCTGTGAGGCTTTGGAGAACTCGCTTAACTTTACTAAGTCCCTGTTTCTTTTTTTTTTTTAAATATATTTTATTGATTTTTTACAGAGAGGAAGGAGAGGAACAGAGAGTTAGAAACATCGATGAGAGAGAAACATCAATTAGCTGCCTCCTGCACACCTCCCACTGGGGAAGTGCCCGCAACCAAGTACATGCCCCTGACCGGAATCGAACCCGGGACCCTTCAGTCCGCAGGCCGATGCTCTATCCACTGAACCAAACCAGCTAGGGCCTAAGTCCCTGTTTCTTATAAAGTGAAGATAATTCCTTCTTTGTAGTATTGTTGTGAGGACGGGAGATACGTATGTAAAGTACTTGGCACATAGCTGGTGTCCGATAAGTGGTAGCTGGTAAAAATGGGCAGCTTCCCTGCAGTATTTCTCCCCCCCCTCCCCCTTATTTTTAGGATCTTGTGTCAGGTGGCCTCCGGCCTCTGAATTATCTCAGGTGAGTTTTCCAAATCCTTGAGAAATTTTTCCTCACCCCCCACTTCCTCTGAAGCCTTCCAGCTGGACACAAACTCATTCCTAAAATATGCAGATGGAAGCTATGGTAACCATGGAGACAGGGCAGGTGGCAAGGAGAAGCAGAGGCAGTGAGAGAAACCAATTGCGACCACAGGGGAGCGAGACTTGAGGAGCGATTTGGACCGAGACTTCCACGCAAGATGAAAAAATAACCTAAGCAAGAGGTGCCGTGAGAGAGGATGTGGCACAAGGCTCGCTCTTGTCTCCGCGCACCCTCGCCCGCAAGAATATGGGGAGGAGGCATCCGGGAATGCCCTGGCCTTTCCTAAAAATGACCCAAGGTCCCCGCCCTCCTCATACTTATTTAAGAGGCCCGTACAGGGAGCTGCGGTCCAAGTTCATCTGCGCTGTGTGCTCCGCTTGGGGGGTGGGGGGGAGGGGATGCTCCCCGGCGTCTGACTCCGGCTCGCCCTGACATTTAAACTGTGAGACGCCAGACACATCTCTTGCCGCTCTCCGCACAGCATGGACTCCGGCTGCGGATCCCCACCGCCGCCCTCCACCCCTCCGCACAGGGCGCCCCGTGCCTGGCGCGGTAGGTAGGTCAGGTCTGGCGCACAAGCGCACAGGAACACGCCGAGCGAGCGAGAAGGGGGGATCTGCAGAAGCTCAAGAACGAATTTAGTTGGTGTCGGTCTGGGTGGCAGAGGAATCTTCTAAGAATCCTTTAGGTTTGTTGGGACCGAAGGGCGGCCGGCTAAGCCAGGAAAATCAGGATCGGAGCTCCAGGTTTGGGGGTTTGTGTGTGCATGGGTGGGGGAACGGGTTGGTGCCCGACGCCCCCACCCGCGGAGACGAGGCTATAAATAGCAAGGCAGAGCTCCGCCTTTCGCACCCCCCCCCCCCGCCCCCCCCCCCCCCCAGCCTCTCTCCTCCCCAGCCGGCGCTGTGCCCGGGGCGCACCGGGAGGAGGGACCAGCATCCGATGCCCGGGCGCAGATACTGACACCAAGGGAATCCAGATGCCCCCCCACGCCATGTGGGCCCCCGGGAACCCGGCCCCACCACCCCGGCTGCCTGGTGGTCCCGGCCTCGGTTCTGGCCGGGCGGAGATTCTGCAGACATTCAGGTATCTATTTGGGCGCAAAGCCTGGGAGGGGAAGGAGCAAGGAGTGATGGGGACCAGAGCAGGGGCAAAAGAAACCCCCATTCTCCCCCACCCGTTTTAGGTCCCCAATGCAAGCTGCTTCCCTCCCCCCACTCAATATATGGGGCGGTGGCAACCTCAACGAGGTTAGGAACGGGAATGTGTGTGTGAATGTATGGGTGCATGTGCGTGGGTGGGTGGCATTCAGCATCTGAGAGAGGGGGATTCCAAGTGCAGATAAGAAAAGGGGGGTGCTGGAAAGGTCTGAGGAGCCGGGGGTGCGGGTGGGGGGGTACCTCTGAGCGTGCACGTACGCATTTGCACGCGCGCTGGTCTTTAATGCGGGTGCACCCTTCCCACCTTCTCAGGCATGCTCTGGGGGGAGGTGGCGGCTCCAGGCATGGGTTAGAGGAAGGGCTGTGTGCCGTGCAGTGGAGATCTCTTCCACCCCACGCCGGGTCCTTCCGCCGGTGCCTCAGTTTCCCTGTCTGGATCCATCAGTCAGATGTACCTCTTTCTTGCAGGGATTGGCTTCGCCACTGAGCCCTCAGGCCTCTTCCAGCCATCACCCCCACACCCCTAGCCTTCCCGGGCAGGCCCCGGCCCCGGCTCCATCCGTGCTCTCGCCCCAGCCGCAGCGATGCTGCACACGGAGGGCCACGCTCTTCTCCGGGCCGTGGGGCAGGGGAAACTGCGCCTGGCCCGCTTGCTGCTGGAGGGCGGCGCTTACGTGAACGAGGGCGATGCCCAGGGGGAGACCGCGCTGATGGCAGCTTGTCGGGCCCGCTACGACGACCCCCAGAACAAGGCGCGCATGATCCGCTACCTCCTGGAGCACGGCGCGGACCCCAACATCGCGGACC